TTCAGGGAGATCCAGAGTTTGCAAACAGCAAGGACCTTAACCTGCCATTATTTAGCTGACGGCCACAGAATCTAACCACTGGTTGGGTCAGAATGACCCAGTGAGTCCAAAATATGATTTTTCCCCCACCAAAACATTTCAAATGACAAACAAAAAGCTTTTGAAGTTTCACATTATAAAAACTTAACTGCTATGTATGCAAAGATCAATTGAACTTTGTGAGTTGGTCACCAGAGCTTTCTCCCTGACATATAATTAACTCCAGTGAGCATCTGGTGAAAATATCTGTACATGCAGAAAAAAGGTATACCACGATAACACAAAATTCTGCAATATATTTGGGGTCAGTGTAACCCCATAAGCCTAGGTTAATAGTGCTTTCATTCTCCCATTCACTCCGGTGGGGTTAATTGTGTTCCAGTAGTGTTCCAGTGTTTTCATTAAAAAGGGAAATAAAGAAGAAGAGTTGGAGTTATACTCCCCCTTCACTTGGAGTCTCAGAGTGGCTTACAATCTCCTTCCCTTCCTCTGCCCACAACAGACACCCTGTGAGGCAGGTAAGACAGAGAGCTCTGAGAGAACTGCTCTTGAGAGAACAGCTCTGAGAGAACTGTGACTGACCCAAGGTCCCCCAGCTGCTGCATGTGGAGGAGTGAAGAATCAAAGTCGGTTCTCCAGATTAGAGTCCACTACTCTTAACCACTACACCAAACTGGCCAAAGCTGGGTCAGGGAGCTGAAACAGTGAGGCACAACTGACCCCTTTATTCTTGGTGGATAAGAACATATATAAAAGAAGCTGATGTTGGATCAGGCCAATGGCCCATCTAGTCCAACACGTTGTCACACAGTGGCCAAAAAGACCAGGTGCCATCAGGAGGTCCACTGGGGGGGGGGGCAGGACACTAGAAGCCCTCCCACTGTTGCTCCCCCAAGCACCAAGAATACAGTGCATCACTTGCCCCAGACCGAAGAAGAAGAAGAGGAGATTGGATTTATACCCCGCCCTTCACTACCCAAAGGTGTCTCAGAGCGGCTTACAAACTCCTTTCCCTTCCCCTCCCCACAACAGACACCCTGTGAGCAATGTTCCCTCTAAGCTGTGGAGTCTTGTGAGCAAAAACTTTACTTTGTGAGCTACTGCCATTAAAGTTGTGAGCGAGCTATTTGGCTACTGCATAAATTAGTTTGCTCTGGAGCCATCCTTCCTGAGTGAAGACAAAAATGTGTGAGCCGGAGGACAAAAAAATGTGAGTTAGCTCACACTAACTCAGCTTAGAGGGAACCCTGCCTGTGAGGTAGGTGGGGCTGAGAGAGCTCTGATAGAAACTGCTCTTTTTCAAGGACAGTTCTTATCGGAACTACGGCTTGCCCAAGGTCGTCCAGCCAGGTGCGAGTGGAGGAGTGGGGAATCAAACCCGGTTCTCCCAGATTAGAGTCCGCGCACTTAACCACTACACCAAACTGGCTCTCAGAGAGTCCCTATCTATACCTTGTGGCTAATAGCTGCTGAAGGAGTCCCCCTTGGGCACGGGAGGGCACACCAGTCCAGGAACGGAGCGTGGAAGGCAGAGGGCAAGGAGGCTGGGTGGCGGAGAGCTGCCCTCTCCCACCCCCCATGCCGGTTTCGCCAGATGATGTCCAGCAAGAACAGGCAAAGTAGTAGGGAACTGTTAAAAGTCTGGTTACTTTGAGTGTCAGACTAAGATGTGGGAGACCCAGTTTCAGATCCCCGCTCTGTCATGGAAGCTCGCTGGGTGACCTCTGGCTAGTCACGTGCTCTCAGTTTCACCTGCCGCATAGGGCTGTTGTGTAGCTAAAACGAGGGAGAGGAGAACGATGTAAGCTGCTTTGGGTCCCCATTTTGGAGAAAGGTGGAGCATAAAGGAAGTACAAATGATGTAGCAATAAAAGGCCTGTTTCCCCCTCTGAGTCTTCTGGTGAATTATGCAAGCCCACTGGCAGAAGATCACGTCGTCACATGAAGCTGTCTTGTACTGAACCAGAGCCTTGGTCCATCAAAGTCAGTACTGTTTACTCAGAGTGGCAGTGGCTCTCCGGGGTCTCAGGCGGAGGTCTTCCCCATCGCCTCCTGCCAGATCTTTTAACTGGAGATACCGGGGATTGAACTTGGGACCTTCTCCATGCCAAGCAGAGGCTCCCGCACTGAGCCACAGCCCCTCCCTCTGTACCTCTACTGGCTTGAGCCTCAGTTTTTCCGAGGCAGCACATCAGCTCCTTGCACCTGGAGGGGCTCTTCCTGCTGTCTCAGGGCATCACCATGCCTCTGTTGTGTCACATTCAGGGGTGGGCTCGGCAAAGCAGTTTGATTAGCCGTCAAAGGGGGTCGTGGCTTCAGACATCAGTGTTGAGGGGCAGCGGCAGAGTTCAAAGGCCAACACTAGTCTGTGGTTGAGAGGAAACAGCGAAAACAAGCCAATGAAAAAAGATCGCAGTGCATTTTTAGGGGACTGCTTCTTAAAATATACTTCATAATAACTATAGCAGTGTTATCAACACAGGTCCAATAGTGCTTTCCTCTTTGTGTGCTGTCTCACACACCCTTGCTCTGTTTTCACACATGAAGCTGCCTTATACTGAATCAGACCCTCGGTCCATGAAGGTCAGTATTGTCTACTCGGACTGGCAGTGGCTGTCCAGGGTCTTTCCCATCACCTACTACCTTATCACTTGAACTGGAGATGCCAGGGATTGAACCTGGGACCTTCTGCCTGCCAAGCAGATGCGCGCGCACTGAGCCACAGCCCCTCCCCTTTCCTTTGTAAGAAAAAAAGGCCCCTTTGGGATGATTACCAAATACAAAGGCCCATTTCAGTGTTAAAGTAGCTGCTCATAAAGAACGGTCACTCACTGTCTTGCTTTGTGCATAATGCTAGGTCAAGTCCCGGACAGTGCACTCCCTCCTATTTTATTTATCACTGCTTTCTTCATGAGAGTTTTGTTCCACCTCTCCAGAGCCCTGCTCAAGGCAGTTTGCCATTAAAATGGTCAATTATCAATACAAAACCAAGCAAGCCATTAAAACTGCCCAGGGGCATAAAAACAGCACAAAACTGTCCATAAGATAGGCACAAAAGCAGTGGTGGACCATAACTGCCCCCCCCCCCCCGGCATGCTGTGATTTCCTGCCTTCCCTCACTGGGTTGGGCCAAGCCCAGGAGCCCAAAACTGCTCCAGAACTGCTTCTCCAGGCCGTGTTTGGTGCTCTGTCTGAATCAAGCCGTTGTGGCGAAAACAATGAACCGGTCAGCAATGTTCATGTTCCTGTGAAGTAATCTTTGGCATGGGGTAAGGAGCTCGAGGGCCCTGCCTTCCCTCACCATAAAGGGTTCCTATGGCGGTAATTATTTTTGCAGTTTAAACCAGATTTACTGGGGGGGGAATCCATTCTGATGTCATGCACTATGTCACTGAGCAGTCTCCATTTATTCTTCTTGGTGAGGATTCCAGTAATTAGCAGAAGGAAGCCTAGATTGTCCAAATTAGGCTGAAGGGTTCAACCCATTCTGAAATGAAAGTTTGTCTGTAAGTTTATACTGGGACTGAAACACATGTGGAGAAGTGGTTTTGCTTTCTGTCCTCTGTGTGTGGTTTTCTGACCCCAGACAGTCTCAGATTGTGGCAGTGCTCTTTGCTCCACTGGGAAGCATGCATGCAGCGCTTGTCTCGATGATGAAGAAGAAGAGATTGGATTTATACCCCGCCCTTCACTTGGAGTCTCAGAGCGGCTTACAAATTCCTTTCCCTTCCCCTCCCCACAACAGACACCCTGTGAGGTGGGTGGGGCTGAGAGAGCTCAAACTGCTCTTTTTCAAGGACAGCTTTGCCAGAGCTTGTGACTGACCCAAGGTCACATCAGCAGGTGCAAGTGGAGGAGTGGGGAATCAAACCCGGTTCTCCCAGATTAGAGTCCACGCACTTAACCACTACATCAAACTGGCTCGATAGTTAACAGTTCGTACAAACTTTGGTAGGTTCAGCAATAGGTGAAACCTAATAAGAATAACTAATAAGAAATCACTGGTGCAACTTGAGGCCCGCATCATTGGATCCAAAGGGAGTCCCACCAAAGAGCTATATTTACCTGCACGAGGAACAGGAAGTTCCCATCCTGGAACATGATTTGTGTGAAACCTCCTGTTTACCCTTGCTGGGTAAGTTTCCTGTAGGTGGTACTTAACCTGATGGTTGAATTCATGTGTTCGACAACATGGCAAGCGAAGATGTCCTCATTAGTGGCTGGTAAGAGGTGAGTTTTTTTAAAAAAGCTGATCTTCAAAGGGAGAATCCAGCATGAAATAAGTGGAATTACAATTCATTAGCAAGTTGGAGCTAAGCAGGGTTGGTCCTGGCCAGTATTTGGAAGGGGGGCCACTAAGGAATACCAGGATTGCTACGCAGAGGCAGGCAATGGCAAACCACCTCTGAATGTCTCTTGCCTTGAAAAACCCATAAGAGGGTCACCATATGCCGGCTATGACTTCACACTACTTTCCACCACTACCACCAGCACGGTGAACACTAATTACCCACAAGTGGTAGTAGGGACCTGAGATTCCTCTCCTGTGATAGGTGCTGTTATCTTGTATATCACAACTCTTAGGGAGGTTAAGTAGTTCAGCTGCAGTAGTGTAACTTCTTATTGTATCTGCTCATCTTGCGGTGCGGCCCAGAGTAAACCAACTACTCTTTTTTATTGTCTCTTATTTTGAACCAGCCTTTCTGTTGTGAATAGAAAAGCATCAGCCTTGTGGATATATGATGGCGGTGGAAAGTGAAAGGTCAGAGCTGATTTAGGCCGACCCCTGGTGGGATTTTCAAAGCAAGGGATGTTCAGAGGTAATTTGCCATTGCCTGCCTCCACGTCAGGATCCTGGTATTCCTCGGAGGTCTCCCATCCAAATACTAGCCAGGGCCGACCCTGCTTAGCTTCCAAGATCTGACAAAATCGGGCTAGCCTGAGCTATTCAGGTTGGGGCAATGGATATATTCCCCAATGGATTTGATGAAGTGAGTTCTACCTCATGGGAGCTTATGGTGGCATAAATGTTGTTAGTCTTTGAGGCATGTCACCGAGCAAAACAAATTTCCTACTAAAATTCCCATCTTTGCTTGGTTCCTCTTGTTTCCTGAAGAAACATGAGAAGGTGGTCTTCAAGTCGTAGTGCTGTCGTGTTTCTGATGGGCAAGAAATTGCGGGCACCGTGTTGCAAAGAATTAACTCAGGGGCTTGGCATGCCTTGTGTCTGATGCTGACCTACTTAATTTCTGAGCATTGTTGAGAGTGATTATGAAGAACCGTTGGGGCGGAACCCTCCTGCTCTTTTGCTTTTGCCGTGGGGATGTGTGAACCGAGAGCCTGAGGGAAGAGCAATAGAACAGGCAGGCCTAGAAGGACCCTGGAGCTGTGAAGAAGGGTCCATCAAACAGACAGTCCTCCACCAACAGGAACTTCAGAAACTTGACTGTTTAAAGTTTTGGCTTGGGGAAGCTCCAGAGAACCTCCTAGGCACCTCTTATGATTTAAATCACAATTGAAATCACTGGTCAATAAGACTCGATTTAAATCATGGTTTTCTATGTAAAGTCTCATTCTTGTTGGCCTTAATATTTGCAACTCAGATGAAGGTTTCATTTTAGTATAACAACTTTTTCAGTTTTAGTTATATCAGAAAATTAATGATTGTTTATTTACCACTTGAAATAGATAATTATGAAATCATTGCAAGGTGAACTCCAAATTAGTAGGTTGTTAATGATTCATATTTGGACAACTTTTCTGCTGTACATTATTGGAAGGAGAAAAATAATCATTAACAATAACCCTTTAGATTGTTTTATTTAACTAAAAGAATAACATTATATAGTATATGTATTCTTGCATTTGCTTAAACATTTATGAGGATACACTCACAAAGGTCTCAAGATTTCTGGAGTATTCTGCTCAAAAAGTTTCACTTTCCTTTGTACAGCTTGCCCCTTCCTCCTCACACATAGCTCTTAACATCCACTCCTTATCCAAACCTAGGGCTGCCAACCCCGCAATGGGGGCAGGTGGGGAAGCCCCGCCCCTGAACAGCCCCACCACCCCAACTTGCCCGGTGTGATGATGTCACCTCCAGGTGATGTCATCTTGCCAGGTACATTTTGCAGGGGATGCTCTGGCATTTGGCTAAAAAGTCTATGGTGACCATAGAGTTTTTTTTAGCTGAATGCCAGATTGTCCCCTGTAGAACGTGTCCAATCATTTCGTGGATCTTCTCTGGGGTTATGCTTGCTACTTCTCTGGGCTCTGGAAAGAAACTCAGTTTTAACAAGTTACATGTTAGGAAATCAAAAGTCTCACATTTGAATTGTTGGAGAGCTTTCTGCTATATGTCATCCAAACCTAGTGACTCATAAGCTTTTTAATTTGGCCATTAGCCCTACACTGTCATCTCTTATCAACTCTGTTTGACTCTGTTCTTCTGACATCCTTCTCAATAAGAGCAGCTTTGGCATAGGTAACTGATCCCGCATTTTCTCAGTGAAAACTAAGGCAAAGAGTCCATTCAAGTTCTCTCTGCAGTCTCTCTCTGTCTAGCAGTTCTTTAGCTCCTTTGCCGTCCAAGGGCTCAGCTGCCTCCCTGGTCAGTTTCTGGGTACTATTAAATAAATTAGTTTTGGTTATCTCGGTTTTTTAGCAATATTTCCCTTTTTGCTTCATTTAGTTTCACTTTCCATATTGTTTTACCAGAGCTTGTGTTCCTCCTTGTTCATACAATTGGGCAACTCTCCTCTCCTCTCCTCTCCTCTCCTCTCCTCTCCCTCTCCCTCTCCCTCTCCCTCTCCTCCCTTCTCCCCTCCCCTCCCCTCCCCTCCCCTCCCCTTTCCCCTCTCCTCCCTTCTCTTCTCTTCTCTTCTCTTCTCTTCTCTTCTCTTCTCTTCTCTTCTCAACGGAACCTTTGGGATCTTCTTCAGCTTTGAGAGCCAGTTTGGTGTGGTGGTTAAGTGCGCGGACTCTAATCTGGGATAACCGGGTTTGATTCCCCACTCCTCCACTTGCACCTGGCTGGATGACCTTGGGCAAGCCGTAGTTCCGATAAGAGCTGTTCTTGAAAAAGAGCAGTTTCTGTCAAGAGCTCTCTCAGCCCCACCTACCTCACAGGGTGTCTGTTGTGGGGAGGGGAAGGGAAAAGAGTTTGTAAGCCGCTCTGAGATACCTTTGGGTAGTGAAGGGCGGGGTATAAATCCAATCTCCTCCTCCTCCTCCTCCTCCTCCTCCTCCTCTTCTTCTTCTTGTAAAAGGGGCGGGTTTCAGAACAATTTTTTTGGAGCTCTTCTGACAGCTGCTCTCACTGCAGTCTGATAAAGTCCTTCTTTGCAGCTTGCCTCCTCCTTTTGAGTGGGAGGAGAATCCCCACTGCTTCCCTTTTCTCTTTCACCTCCTCAGGGACCCTCTGAAGTAGGTCGCCCTTGGACTCTGTGGGCTGGCAGCAGTCAGCTCGCGGGCTGAGCCTGGGACCTGGATTCATGTTTGGCACCCTGTCCCCCGGGAGCCCACGGAGCTGAGCTTCCCAGCTGGCATCTTGTGTGTGGAACAAGCAATTTTGCTGAGAAGCCAACTTTGGGCTGTCACTTCCGGTTTAATACCCTAAATATGTCCCCCCAGGAGCACACAACTACTCTTCCCAGTGCTGCTGGGGCTGACGTGTGCCACAACAGCTGGTTCCTCCTGGGTGCTACCCACAAGCCCATTAACTGCAATCTTTGCATCAAGCAGGTGAGTCACCATTCAGTGAAAACACCAACAGACTCATTCCTGCCTAAGGTGGATCGATTTTAAATCGCCAAGAAAAGGGGCTGATTTAAATTGAGATACTCATTCATATATTGTCACATAATATGCAAATGTGATCCTCAAACCATGTTAATTTACAACTAAATCAAGCATTTGCACTCTTTGGGAGGGTGCGGTTTGCATAATTTCTCAATAACTTGATGATTCCTGATTTTAGAAAATATTACATAATAGATTATTAAATGGATAATTTCGCTCATTATCTGTGTCAAACAGCACTACTTTAGGAATGTTAACTAGAAGTAAATTGCACGCAAAATAGCACATAGTTTATTAAACTAAGCAGTCTTAAATGTTGCATAAATCATGTGGTTCACATATGCAAGCGTTGTCTGAGTTCCCAGGACTAGACTATTTATTTTTGGATTTTATTAACTCGTAACAGACAAGTCATCCAAGTAGTAAAGGCTGACAGGCAAGATTTCATCCTCCCCGGCTCTCCCTGTCATTTCTAGCTTGAAACAGAATTATACCTTTTCCTGCTTGATTTCTGAGCTTGGAAGGAATCTTACTGAACAATGAGAAAATGGAGTGTCCGCAGAGGAAGTTTTGTCAGTATAAAGCTGGGCTTGGCAGCTTGAAGGGACAATGTTGGCTAAAGGCTCCTGCCTTAAGACATCCACCAGTTCAAGGAAGTGAGCATGTTCAGAGCATCGTCATCCGATATATGCTGCTGAAATAATTATCCTCCAGCCCTGAAGTGTTATATGGCTGGAGATTCCTGGGTCATGGCAGCAGCTTGTTCAGAAGTCTGCCGTCTACCCTTAATTCCGGGCTTGAGAGTATTCACAAGAAGATGAAGCAGAGGTGGCACACGATCTTTCTGCTTCCTTCTTTGCTGCTTGCAGCTGAAGTGTGCCGGTAGGCATGTCTCCTCTTCAGTGTCTCTTGATGAGGTGCCTTCCAGAGTTTAGCAGCTTCAACCCCGATCTTCCCGAAGTTTGTCTGAGACTATGGAAGTACGCTTTGGTGTCTGAGCTGATCTTCTGCTTTTCGTCCAGGGTTGGAGATGCAGGATGAGAGAGTTCCATCTGTTTTGTCACCATTATGAAAATAGGGGGTGAGAAGGCGGCATGCTATTGCCTGATCTCACCAGATCTCAAAAGCTAAGCCAGGTGGGAACTTGGAAGGGAGACCACCAAGGAAGACCCTGCAGAGGAAGGCAGTGGCAAACTGCCTCTGCTTCCCACTGGCCTTGAAACCCCCTTGCTGGGGTCGCCATAAGTCAGTGGCAACTTGACGGCACTTTGCCCACACTTGAGAGTAGGCTAGTCCCTTACGAAATCGTTGGGGGGAAAAATACCAGCAACTAGATTCTGCAGTGCATTGAGAAAGAATTAATTTGGGCCCAGGGCTATTTTTGGGCAGGAACGCACAGGAACGGAGTTCCAGCTGGCTCCCAAGTTGGCCACACCCAGCATGAACTCATTAACATAATAGGCCACACCCAACAGCAGAAACTCAACAGGATTGGCTACAGTAGGGGTGTGTGGCCTAACATGCAAAGGAGTTCCTGCTACAAAAAAAGCTCTGGGTTTTGACCACAAACAAGGTAAACAGAATAAGAAGCAAAAGGTGGGTGTGGCTGGATGTCCACACTTCTGGTAACATGGGAATATGGCTTCATATGCTAATGAGCGGTGCAGTCAGGTGTGGCCTAATATGCTAATGTGTTTCTGCTTCGGGGTGTGGCCTATTATGCTAATGAGTTCCTGCTGGACTTTTTCTACAAAAAAAGCCCTGTTTGGCCCCCCTTGCTTTCTTCAGTAAAGCTGAAGCAAAATAATTGTCACAAAGGTATTTTGCAGATTTCTACGACATTTTCTTGTATTCTTGGAGAAGTACTTTACGTCTTTGGCTGCATGGTGCATTAAATGGGTACTGCAGCTGTCAGTTGTTATGTCATCAGCGTCCGTCATTTTCTTCTTCTGGGTATCTTCTCATCTTTGCTTGTACTGCTGCGGGTGACCAAACTGTACTTGGGGATACTTGAAGCTATTAGCTGCCAGATCCAGGTTGGGAACTACCTGGAGACGTTGGAGGTGGAGCCTGCGGAGGGGAGGGCTCGGGGAGGGGAGCATCCTCAGTAGAGTCTAATGCCACAGAGTCCACCCTCCAAAGCCACCGTTTTCTCCAGGGGAACTGATCTTGGTCATCTGAAGATCAGTTGTAATAGTGGGAGATCTCCAGGTGCTACCTGGAGGCTGGCAACCCTAGTTTGCATGGATTGTAGATTGTACAGAGGATTTTTCTTCCAATACAAAGGTGGGGTGTAAAGGTTCTAATAACCTCAAAAAACTCGTCGGTCTACTCGAGCACACGGCAGATTGTAGACCTGGACCACATGAGACGGTGATCCTGTCAGCTACAAGCCAAGGCCGTAATACCTGCTTTGAAAAATGAGAGGTCTGCTCTCAGCCGTGGGACTTTGGTCAGGCGCCTCGCTCCGTTGTCTGTGTAGAGGGCACTTGGATTTGCTGTGGTTTTTTTAGGGCAAACTTGTGGATAAAATTGTGCTCTTGCTACCTGACAGACACCCATTTGAATGTCACCCCCCTGAATGAATGTCACACTACCTGAGTCCCCAACAGCCTCATGACGTCGAGATGGAGATTTCATTGCATTTTCAGATATCTGCTTAATACGTTGTGATTAGTTCAGCACTCATAGTCTGACTTTTCTCTCTCTTCTATGCTAAAATTTGGTGACTTTGTTGATGTATGATTGGCACAAAAAAAACTTCCCAGGAGCAAGTGGAGCACTCGATAAGTTGGACATGCTGAAAAGTGACTTCAAGCCATTTTGGCTCAATCCAACAACTGGAGCAGTTCAAAACAGCAGTGCTACACAGCTTATCGGAAAGCCAGTGTGGTGTCGTGGTCATGGTTGTAAGCCACCCGGTAAGCGGCCCTGTAAACTGTTGTAAGCCGCTCTGAGCCGCCTCGGCGGGAGGGTGGGGTTGAAATCCAATAAATAAATAAATAAATAAATGGTGTCAGACTAGGAACTGGGAGCCCCAGATTCAAATCCCCCCACACTGCCAAGGAAGCCCACTGGGTGACCTTGAGCCAGTTACACTCAACCGAGCCTACATCACAGGGTTGTTGGGAGGATTAAATGGAGGGGAGAACAATGTAAGACATTTTGAGTCCCCCTTGGGGTGGAAGGCGGGGATAAACAAACAATCTGTGATAGACAACAGCAGACACGCACAGAAACACACCTATTTAACTTGGAGTGAAAGAACGAGCCTACACAGAATTTAAGTGATGAAGCTGGTAGTTTGGTGTAGTGGTAAAGTGCGCGGACTCTAATATGGGAGAACCGGGTTTGATTCCCCACTCTTCCACTTGCACCTGGCTGGATGACCTTGGGCAAGCCGTAGTTCTGGCACAGCTGTCCTTGAAAAAAAGCAGTTTCTGTCAGAGCTCTCTCAGCCCCACCTACCTCACAGGGTGTCTGTTGTGGGGAGGGGAAGGGGAAGGAGATTGTGAGCCGCTTTGAGACTCCTTTGGGTAGTGAAGGGTGGGGTATGAACCCAATCTCCTCCTCCTCCTCCTTCTCTTCTTCTTCTTCTTCTTCTTTTTCTTGTAAAATGGGCGGGTTTCAGAACAATTTTTTGGAGCTCTTCTGACAGCTGCTCTCACTGCAGTCTCACTGCAGTCCTTCTTTGCAGCTTGCCTCCTCCTTTTGAGTGGGAGGAGAATCCCCACTGCTTCCCTTTTCTCTTTCACCTCCTCAGGGACCCTCTGAAGCAGGTCACCCTTGGACTCTGTGGGCTGGCAGCAGTCAGCTCGCGGGCTGAGCCTGGGACCTGGATTCATGTCCGGCACCCTGTCCCCCCGGGAGCCCACGGAGCTGAGCTCCCCAGCTGGCCGCTTTCTGGAGACGATGGCTTCCCATCAGCTTTTGCAACCCGCGCTAATAAGCGGCTCCCTCTTTGTCCTTTTGTCATCCTGGCTCTTGACAGGACTCAGAAGGCTGCCAGGAGGCGATGCAACCAGTTTGGCAGGTCTTGCTCAAGTCAAAATAGCGCCGCCGGGCTTGGCCAGCCTTTGCCAGCTTGCAGCCACCGCAGCGAGAGAGGGAGAAAGTTCTTGGGCCACACTGACTGAACACACACACACATGCAAGGGGGAAAGGCTTAAGTGCCTGGTGCCCATGGTGTTCTTTGGAGCCGCGGGGCCCACTGCCTGAAGCAGAAATACATGTTGTATATTAATCTACAGTCTGGTAATACTTCTTCCGAGACTTATCTGTGGTCCGTGCCGGTCAGCGGCAGCCAAGTGTGTGAGGAGCTAGAGAGCAGATCCCGGGCAGGATTGGGACCAGAGTCCATTGCACACCAAGGTTTGAGTTGATGCTGGAACTTGGATGCCTGGAGGCTGAGGGGGGAGGGTGAAGGAGAAGAGAAGAAGAGATTGGATTTATACCCCGCCCTTCACTCGGGAGTCTCAGCGCGGCCTACAAACTCCTTTCCCTTCCCCTCCCCACAACAGACACCCTGTGAGGGAGGTGGGGCTGAGCTCTTGACAGAAACTGCTCTTTTTCAAGAAGAGCTGTGACAGAACTACGGCTTGCCCAAGGCCATCCAGCAGCTGCATGTGGAGGAGTGGGGAATCACACCTGGTTCTCCCAGATTAGAGTCCACGCGCTGAACCACTACACCAAACTGAGCTCATCCTACCCCTTCTCCTTGGGGCCTCCAGGGGAAGGAGTCAGATCTCAGGCAGCATTGGATGAGGGGGTGTTTTCTTCTCAGCTCGAGAGTTCCTGCAGTTGGTCTTGTCCCCAGCGTTAATCTGGCTTCCCTCTGAGCCATCCAGCACAGCCAGGCTATGCTCCCTCCCTCCCTCCCCCCCAGCAGCAGACCAGGAGGGGACAACATATGGAGGGAAGACGGAGGACAAAAAGGCAGGAAG